GGCCTCTCAGAGGCCCGGCCGCGTCCGGGTCAGCCGCGCCGAGCAGGGCAGGGTTTTGGGGTGCGAGGTGCTGGGTGACAGTCAGGAAATGGCCGCTGCTCAGCGTGATCGTGGAGTCATAGGGTGGTTTGGCTCAGAAGAAACGTTAAAGAGCCGTCTGCTTACAGCCAGAGGTTGCGTGCAACCTCTTGTAGGTATTTCTGCCATTTTCAGTGTTTTAGGTACCTGGACTGCTAATGGATAGGTTCCTGCTACACTTCCAAGGGCAGTTGGATTATAGGCCCCTTTGTGATGCCACCCCACGAAGGTCCATTGCTGTGAAGCAGCTTGCTGAATTGTGTGCCCACCGCTGGATTTTTGGAAGTCCTAGGCAAGGTGGAGGCTGAGGCAGCAGGACACTAGTACCAGTGAAAACCAAAGAACTCAAGTCTTCACATGCCAGCGCTTTGCTGAAACCTATGCAGGCCTAAAGCTGCCTTATCATTGTTCTTTATCAGCAATGATAAAGCACACGGACTCTGCAACAGATGCACATTTAATCCCCTGGAACATGCTTCTTGCCCTGCAGAAGCTTCTTAACTTCCTGGGGTAGGCAAAGTTAGCCACTGTCTCTCCCCTGGCTTAAAAGAACTGGCTTAGTCCTCCTGTGGCAGGGAAGTCACACCATCCTCACCCCCCCACCTGTTCCTCCGAAACAGAGGAGACGGCCAAACTTCGGTTGAGGACTTTCTGCTATTAGCTGAGCTCCTTTGGTCGCTGCAGGGGAAGCAGACCAGGGCAAAATGGAGCCCTGCATAACTTAAAACACTACTTTTGGGTCTGAGCTCTAAAGAGAATCACCAGAAGGGAACAGAAGAACAGTGCCAGGGTCACTGTCTCCCAAGCATCTGTTTTGCTATGGAGCAGCAAGAAAGAAAAGGATGGTGAACCTGGTGGTAGCCAGCCAGTTCAGCAGTAGACTTGAGAGAAGCAGTAGGGACTGAAGGTCTTGGTCCTGTCCAAGCTTGAGTCAGTGTTGGAGTTCTCACTAAGTACACCAGTGGGGCATTTGGTAGGGCAGTGATTGGCACTGTTTCATTAGGGATGAAAGGCTCAGGATAGACTCTGGTGTAGGAGAAGGAGTTGCAAGAAAAGCTTTGGCCATACTTCGTGTTTGTGGGTGTAGAGTGGGATCTTTTTTAAATTAAAGGGACATAACAAATGCCTGTTTCTCCTGTCCACCATCTGATCAATACTTGTGCTGGTACTGTTTGTACTACATCCTCTCTCAAGAGGAGGTTCACCCTGTATCCCTAAGGTTCAACAGCCTGCAAGGCAGAGGCGGTTGTGTCTCCCATCTAGCAGCATTTCTTTAGCAGCTGGGTGATCACTGGCCCTTTGCTTGGCATAAATGCAGACAAATGAAGACTGGGTAAAGAGGGAGCGAGGGAGGGTTGAATGTAAATGCATGTTGGGAAACCATGGGAAGCAAGGAAATTCCAGAGAAACACCCTGGTGGCTGGGCCCAGAAGCTTGATCTGCCAAGCATCAGCACACGCCACTCTGCTAGACTTCAACTATTCCTGCCTGTGCTAGGAAGTTCTTGAAAGGCTTACACCATACACTTCATCAGGAATAAACAAGCGTCTTTTTATCTACTAGAAAAATCCTAGCACCCCCCAGAGGATCTTGTGCTTCATTTCCTAAGGCAGACCACTGATCAGGTTTCCAGAGGAAACCTCATCTGTCAGGAGCAGAAATCTCATCCACTGTATGTGAACAGTACTAAGAAACCAAAGAGAGAACTGTCTCTGCAAATGCTATGGTTTTCAAGGGCTCTATGGGGGCAGGGAAACAGAAGAGCTGAATGGGTGAATCTTCTTTATTAGGAAACAAACACACAGGACAGACTGCTTTCTTGGAAAGAGACTGCTCTGATCTAAATTAAGAGGAGCCTTTAAAGGCTCCCTCATTTTCCAATAAGCTGGGCAGATCTTCTGTGGGGCTTTTTTAAATGAGGTTGCTCTTCCCAGCAAGAGTACATAAGGGCAGTAGCCTTTCAGCTTAACACTGATTACAGGTACTTGGACAATAGCATCCATGAAGGTGGACCCAGCAGCAAAAGGCTTCTTTGTAAATAAAATACAACAGCCAAAATTAAGGTCCTTGTTCTATTCTGTGGCACTGTAGTGATACTCCTGCCAACACTCAGCATAAAACTTCAGAGACATTGAGTAGATGTTTAACAATAAAGAAAAGAGCTCTCTCTAACAGGCCTTAATAAGGCCTCTGGGCAAGGTATGATGAGCTTTGTTGTCAGGTGTATGAGGACATCACAACCAAGATACTGGAAGGGTTTTACAAAATCCATGTCATACACACTCCTATCAAAAGGAAGACTGAAAATACAATTAGTTGCGACTTGAGGAAGGAAGATATTGCAAACAGTTGTATAGAAGTACCTTCTCTAACAGGTGCTGTCATGCAAGGTGCTGTTGTTTTTAATTGTGTCAATTATAGCGGTTCCCAGGAACCTTCTCTTGTGCCCTTCTGCATTTGTAATTAAATGGGGCAAAGTTTTGACTAAAGCAATTTAGTTTGCATTTCTAACTATCTAAACTTAACTTCCCAAGTATTTCTTCCCTCATTTCCCTTTTTCCATTATACAACTTCCCTAACAGATTATAAAGCTTTAAATGCTGACAACAAACTGCTCCCAGTGTAACTAATATAGTCAAATATCTTAATTATAATAATTATAATACCTTTCCAGATTGCAACTATAGATGTGAAGGATATGTACCAGATGCCAGTAGGGAGTGATTTGGTTCCACTCAGCAGGGACTCCACTGTATACATTTACTCCCTTAGGGCATGTTTCAAACAGTGCGACCCTTTTTCATGCTGTGTTGTCCAGAGAACTGGATACACTAACGTTACCACAGGAGGTCACTGTGGTGCAGTATATATATCCGGCAGAGAGATGAGCACAATCATTCCCGTTTGGAAAAGGTGCTCTTAGCAGCTTACAAAGGGCTAGGACAAAATGACATTGCCATTACCTAGTCTTAAACCTATGCTTGCTGGTAAATCAGTACCTTTAGGTGTTGCGTGTAAGACCCCTGTACAAAGGTGAGTGCTGTGTAATCATCATTATGAAACTGTACTTAGCATAAATAAGAACAAAGTTACTGAAGTTGTGGAGTATACAGGAATGGCCATCGAGTACATAGAGCTTCTGCTCTTTTGTTCAGAGTGAAAGTCACAAGACTGAGCTCCAGCTGGGCTTTTGCCTTTCTAATTTTCTCCCTGTTTGATCTCACAAGATCCCTGTATTCATCTTGAGTTGCCTATCCTTTCTTCCAAAGCTGATAAGCTCTTTTTTTTTCCTGAGTCCCAGCAAGAGCTCCCTATTTAGCCAGGGCAGTTGTCTTCCCCACAATTCCACAATTTTGTCTTATGGTACATGGGGACAGCCTGCTTCTATGCGTTTAGGTTTTCTTTCTTGAAGAGAAGGTAGCAGGACACTCTAGCTTTCCT